GTGTATAAAATGGTGCTTGTTCAGCACCAAGGCTCGGAAAATAAGCAGCCATGCCTTCGGATGCAACAGCAGCTGCAGCAGCAGCATAGGGTGCGCTGTACATCGAAAGGGCTGCAGTTGGTAATCCTCCAAGTCTTTGATAACCACCAAGAAGATCGTATTGACATGAACAAACAGTTTGTCCGGTGATTGGATCCGTGAAGATGGGTCTGCCGGTGTCACAGCACCTAGCGGCTGTCGGGCCTGCCGTTGTTGGCGGTGGGTGACCTTGAGATGGACTCACCGAGGCTGTTGGACTCCCCGGTGGTCGTACCACCGCATTCGTCACCGCCATTCTTGCGTTCGACAGACCACCAGCCCCCCCGCCACTGGATACAACACCCACCACACCAAGAGGATGATTCGTTGTCCCTACACCGGATGCAGCATTCACCAAAGATGAACTTCCTGCGCTCAGGTGAACTCCTGACGACGGTGAACCCGACGAAGACGCTAACGACGAATTTACTGTCACAGGACACTGAAACATTTTCATCCAAATTTATTCCTTTCATATTTTCCATTTTTTTATTCTCTTCTTTTATTATTTTTAACAAGATACGTTTAACTTTATTTAGCTTTAATAATTACTAATTTAATTGTCACTAGATATAAGATTATTTTACAAATTTGTTTTCTTTATTGTATTAATTCTTTAGAGTTTTTTCTTGTTTTTTTTTTGTTTTTATATATTGAAGAACTTATTAATCGAAAAATTGTATTTAGTTTTATTCTGACTTTTGTTTTTAGTCATAGGATTTTAATCATAGAACTCTAGAATATAGAATTGTTTACTTTGAATTTTTGTTTTTTTTTATAATCATATTATAAAAGAGAAAAATGAATAATTTAGACTTAATTCAGAAATATATTTTCTGCTATTTGGTTTTTCTAATCTCTGTGTCATAGTAGAAAGAAAAGAAGACATTTGCCAGATTGTTACAAGACACTGTAACTAAATATGACTCTACTACTCTTATTTCTTGACATAAACTGAAACATTTTACTTTTATAACATTCCTAACTTTGTATCAATCGTATTTGTATCAATTTTTATTATTTTCTGACAATTTAAAAAAGATTGTTTTAATTATGCATTAGTGCTTATATCAATAAACGCATATATGCGCCCATAGTTCATTCTTAAAACTTTTATTGAACACATATATACGTTCATAATCTACGTTTGATAATTTCTAACCGAACTCATATATACGCTCATAATCCAAACTCAATAACTTTCAGTCGAACGCATATATGCGCTCAAAAACTTAATAAAAATCCTAAATTAATTTAAAAATATTTTTCAATATTATCAATTATTACCCTCAAAGTAATAATAATCATTCCTAATATTAAATAGAAACAACGTTTTATGTAGTTAAATAATTAAACATAAATAATTTCAATTAATCTTTATATGTGTGTGTGTGTGTGCTTTATATCCAAAACTATAATTAACAACAATAATAATGTTACAAAGAACAATGATAAACATAATACAATCGTTCCAATAATATATTTTCAATAAACACTTGAACTAGTTTATAATAACAATTAAAAAATGTAATTAATCAGATCAACGATTGAAATGTTGAAACTCTCTCGATGTTGGGCTTTTTGAAAGAGCTTAATTATTATAGCAAATGAAAGGAGCAAGAAACAGAAGGGATTTAAAAGTTGATAAAGAAATGTTCTCTCTTGGTGACGCTTCTAAGCTTGACGTCACAACAAAGTACATAACAGAAATAAAGAATGAAAGAGTAAGAGAAAGAGCAAGAACAAGAGAAAGAGAAAGAGTGAGACAGAAGATACTCGTAAGCGTCAACTTATTCAAAGTTTACTCTCAAGAGAACTACCGGTACTCCGTCGCCACGGGATTTTGCTGACAGTGTCGCATTCTGATGCGCTATTTCGCGGCACGTCTTTCCCCTTCCCCTTCCCCTTCTCTATCTCAAAAAAAAAAAAAGAAGAAAAGAAAGCAGAACAAATGGATACACGAGAGAAAGAGAGTAAGAAAAGGGGGAAGAAAATGAGGAAAAGAAACGTAAAAAGAAAAAAAACAATAAAAAAGTAATACTGCATGAAAAAGATAAAGAATGAATTGCGACACCAGGGTGATGGTAATGATGGTGGTGGGGTATGGGGTTGGTCGGGGGGGGCCACTTGACCGTATATACCCAATGCAAGCAACATCTTAGCATCTCTAATCCATCTCCCAAACAATATTTCCAATGCATTCAAAATATAATGACAGTACCCGGACACCCCTGAAATATCTTTCAACGTAGGAAGAGTGAATATCATTCTTGCGACAGCTGCGTTTACTCCATATACTTTAATACCTTTTCACAGTTCGAGAAAGAAAAAGAAACAACGGTGCGACGATATTCTCTCAAACGACAAAACGTTATAACGAAAAGACTATAACCAATCTTTCCCTTATTCTTTTTTTTCTACCCCTCTTATCCCCCCCATCCACAATCCCCCATTCCACCCCTCTTTAGTAACTTCTAAAGGTAAACCGAAAATCTGTGTAGGGTTCGGGTAGGTAATACCGCGAAAAGGGGAAGTTGGGTTAAGGAGGGTGGGCTGGGGGTTAGGGAGCGGGGGGAGTGTTGGGGGGGTTCCTCATTAATTCCATATCAAACACTACGGCTAAATAGATTAGCGGCTTGAGTGCCTTTCGCGCCCTGGGCCTAAACAAACTCCGCCCAATAAACCCATCTCTCTCTCTCTCTCTCTCTCTCTCTCTCTCTCTCTCGCTCACACTTGGGCTAATGCAGGCGTTTTGAGCAACGTATCAGAAGCCCCCCTCCCTAAAACCCACTTCCCATATATATATAGAGAGATAGTTAGAGTGCAGTAAGCGAGTTATAGCAACCCTCTCGATCGATCCATCCATCCATCCATCCATCCATCCGTTGTGTCCGTTGTTCATCCATCCGTTGCCTCGTTTTGCTATGGCCCCAAAACATATTGTCGAAACTTTGCTCGGGTATTGTATTGAAGAGCAAAGAGGGGTTCTGGGGGGTTGGGGGCAGGACTGGGGAACTGGGGGTTCTGGTGGAAGCAGAGAAAGAGAGAGAGAGAGAGAGAAATAGGGAAGTTGGATGGTTAGGAGAGGAGAGGAAGGGAAGAGGGAAGAGGGAGTCGAAAAACGTGAGCCATCGTGCTCCACGCATTATGGCCATCGAGAGTGGTAGTATAGCGTTAATGCGTGTCGTTCATGCCACGTAGCACGATGTTTCCTCCTGCTTGCCCAACTGTCGCACGTTCCTCGATTTATGCACGTGCATGTTGTTACGTCTCTCGTATAGGCTTCGCTTTCCCMCCCCCCCCCCAACACCCCACCCACCGTGTTCGAGATAATCGTGCCACGATTAGATTTGTTTCTTTTTTTTTCTTTACTTTACTTTTTTCTTTTCGGTTTTCTTTTTTTCTTTCAATGTCTTACTTACTTCACTCATTTTTTTTCTTTTCGCAAATCGTTTCGCATACGTAGGAGGATAGGGGGCTGGGGAGCGAAGTTGGTTGTTTGATTAATTTTTGGGTAAATTAAATTGTCGAATTTAGATTCGTTTTTATTCGTTTTTTTATTTTGATATTAGTGTAATGGTTTATATATTTTATTGATAGTTTTATATTATTCAATTTTATTTATTTTATTAGTTATTTCTCTCGTCCAAAATTATAATTCTTAATACGGAATCACAGGGAACTTGGACATAAAAAGAAGTAGAACTTAATTTAAYTAARTTGRACRTTTYRTCCCTTTATTGGGACTTCTTCAGCAACTTAATTTTATAGTTCAGCGTCTTTTTTTATTATGTAGACATACATTTTTCATTTTATTAATATTCCAAACACAAAACATCTAAACTTCGTTAAATATTCGACCGTTACAATTTAAAACTCTCAACCACACTTCAGCACTAAGTTGCTGAAGAAGTCCCAATAAAGGGACGAAACGTCCAACCTAGTTAAATTAAGTTCTACTTCTTTTTATGTCCAAGTTCCCTGTGATTCCGTATTAAAAATTTATTTATTTTGTATTTTAATATTAAAATTAGGCTTTCATGGGGTTTGAGTTAAATATCGTTGATTATGTTTGTACCTTTTTTGTTTTCAAAGAAATCATATACTTTTTGAAGTTATACTTCTATTGGCGTGTTTTAGAAAGTGAAGTTAGATGCGACCGAAAAATCGACACCATGAAGTTGTCGATATTTATACAAAGCGCGGGAAAAGCGATTTCAAATTTACGGCATGAAAACAGCCTCCTCTTCTTTTCTTCTTTTCCTCTCTTTTTTTCTTCTCAAGCGGTCTCACCTATCCAAGTTTTAATCGTATTCAAGCGTTGCTTGACTTAAATAATCGAACAGGAACTAGTGCTGTCACTGCACCATGCCCGTTGACGCATGAAATAATTTGATATAATTCCCTTATATTAAGTGTTGACTGATATTTATATTTTGATATTTTTGACCAGAATTAAAATTTCTGTTTAAGTTTTCGAAATGCCTAAACGTTGTAGGGTGTATGAGCTGCAAAGAAAAATGATTGCACAATAATATGAAATGTTGAAGTTATTTTTGAGGTTATATTCGTTTTGGTACGCTAAAGAAGTATAACTTCTTACATGCGTACATCAGTACACACACATCAGTTTTTTTTTTTTTCATATAAAATGTTTTATATAATGTTTAATTGAATTAATTAATTTATTAATTCCTAGTTTAACTGTTGTTTGATATAAATATAGAAATATCTTATTAGGAAGTACTGTTCTAATTAAATTAGTAGATTTTACTATGATTTTCTAATTAGTGTTTTCTTGTTAAATTTTATGTATCTTTCTACATTTATTTTTTACAATTAGAGAATTATATAATTACAATATATTATTTTAATCAGATAAGAGAGAGAGAGAGAGAAAGAAAGGAAGAAAGATTTTACTTATTGGAAGAACATTTTTATACATTTTCTATAGAAGTAGAACAATAAAAATGTTTTAACATTTATTACAATATTTTTATAGTTTAAAGTATGAATAACTAAAAATAATTGTAAATAAGTGTATAGTGATAATAAATAATGAACACATAAAAATTAAATGATAATAATTTTAATCTTGAAAAAAATTTTACTTTATCATATTATACAAATTAGTAATATCTCATTATAATTCTTTACACATACTTTATTAAGTTAAACTAATAATTAAAATACCATAATATAACAAATAAGCAAATGCTAAATCATAAAACTTAATATTAACTTAACTCAAATTAATTTCTCTTATTAACTTAATTCTATTAAAAAAATTAATAATTCTCTCTAAAATCATATTTTATATAAAAAATTAACTGTGAACAAACAAACACCCTAAAACTAACAATTTTCCTTCTAAAAAATGAAAAACAAACACAATGTAAGATACATAAAATAACTGAAAAGATGTTTCAATCAATGTCATAT